CCATGGAAGGCGTGAATGATTATTTCAGTACATGTTGTTTGTGCACGGCTCTAGGCTGAAGGGTCATTTGTAGCTTTGAACAACCTGCACATAAATGTGCAATGCATGTGGTGACCTATGTGGTCACAAAGCTTGAAGAGGGAAATAGTAAAAGTCGCACATACTTGTCTGCAAAAGTGTTAACCTTTCCTACATGCATGCATACTCCTAATCTTTTTTCACTTAGAATACACTGATAAAATGGAAAAAATTATAACAAAATACTTAGTTACACTGAATCAACTTAAATACTTTACTTAATTCCAACAAAACCAATTGTTATGGGTTAAATCAGGTAAAAGCTGGTCTTTAAGGTAACAATTTCAGTTCACCACTTTACCAGAGGTCTTCAACTTTGCGCCTGGAGTGCCAGTGTCCTGTAAGTTTATTTCAAACCTGCTCCAACACACCTGCCTATGATTTTCAAGCAGCCTTAAAGACTTTGATTAGCTGGTTCAGACTCTGCAGTGGGTCTTCAGGGGCAGGGTTGAAGACCTCTGGTGTAGGCCAGAATATAATTGAGTCATGGGGTGGGCCTATTTGACTTGGGTCAGTCAGCAAGCATTTAGAAACCACAAAAAACTCCCCAGCAACCCCTTAATATTAGCTATGTTTCCATCGACCTATTTTTAAGCACATTTTGGAATATCGCATAAAAAAAATAAAAAAAAACTGGATGGAAATGCCAAGATGTGCATAAATTCTAAAAATGTGCATACAAAAACTTATGCACAAAATTGAGTAGGATAAACTTTTTATCCAATAAGAAAAAATGCACATAAACTACGATGGAAACACATTTATCAAATAAATTCCACCATGCACATCAAAAAAGTCATGTGACTTTGCACGAGGGGACGGGATAACTTGACTAACCAGTGGACCGATCTCGTTGCACAGCATCTGAAATGATGTTTTGGTCGTTCTGAAATGCCCGAGCAAAGTCTGTTGTCAAAGTATATCTGTATAATTGTCTTACACGATTGCGTTCCCAAACACCAGACATCCACCTCCAAAAGCAATGACTGCATTTGTTTCGTCTGCTCTCTCTGAGGTGAAAGTAATTCATCATATATGAAAATTACTATATTAGGTGGCTTCTACTACTTTTCTTAGTGATATTTAGTGCCAGTTTATTGGGAAGTGACGATTTTGTTCTCTTTGACTCGTTGGATGGAAACAGTGCTTTATTCACAAATGTTTTTTATGCGATATTCCAGTTTGCGCATAAGTTCAATTCCCATCTTTGGATGGAAACATAGCTATTCACTTAGAAGCCGCTAAAAAAAGAAGAAAAAAAACACACTGACAAATCCTGTCTTTTCCTTTTGACCTGATATTCATACACGATGATAAAGATCATATAATATTTTCAAGCCCACCTTTAAATAGTAACCTATGTACATGTGTGCTGTGGCTTAGCATGCAACATGATGGCGCACAAAATCCCACATAACCGCAAGTCAGACTGAACAACAGGCTTCACGGAAATTATGGTAGATTGCTATTTAGAAAGACCAACGCATAATATAGGGCAAGATCCTTTGCAGTGGAACCCGCAAATGTGGTTTGATGAATAACCTTTAAACAACCAGACAAGAGAAGGTCACCATATATGTTGCTAGCTGCTAGACATGAAGAAGAATCAGTTTTTTTTTTCAGGGATGTGTTCCTAGATCAAGAACATTTCTATCAAGCAACGCCAACCGTTAAATACCCCTAAAATCTAAGGGAAAAACAGGCCGATAACCCCCCATAAATGTAACCCAATAATCTGTTTGGTTTGAATGTTTTTCCAGGACCAACAAAGATGTTGACATGTCCTACTTGGCATAATCTCATATAGGACCACCATCTCATGGGAATCATTGGATCTAATCCCATAGTCATGGATTAGAGACATTGTTCAACAATTTCAACAATGATTTCATGAACATCAGGATTATGTCAGATGCATTCCTCAGTTTCTCCAATCCCCAGATCGGACCTCGACTGCACATTCAGGATTGGATTGAAGGCAGTCCTGCAGAAAGACGGTTCCTCTTCCTCTATTGTCTTCTGTCTGGCGTTCAGCGGCTTGCTCAGAGGACGAACGGAGGCACCTGGGTTTCCATGGGGTCCGCGTCTATAAATAGGATCTGTGTTCTAGTGAGCTCCAGCAGGGTTTCTCTAGGTTTCATTCAATAACCTGCAGCAATCAGACACATCTGTGGCCCACGATCCCTCCCCCGAGCTGCGGCGCGTGTGAAATGAGCAGTAAGTGGTTTACTGAAGGTTTCGGTGACCTATGAACCTAATTCCCTTGACAAGCATTAAATACCCCTCAGGAGTAATAGAGCTGCTGCCGTTGTTTCCATGGGGACACGAGACATGTATCTCCATGGTTCCACTGCATTTCTCACTGAGATAAATATAGAGAGATACACAGCACTCTTATAGTGTGTCTTTGACCAAAATGAGGTCAACTGTATCTACTGTAATTCCTGGCACACTGAATTCTGAACATTGTCAAACCGTTTTGATATCTAGAGCGGGTAAAACCTTAAACCTAGTTGATATAATACTGGTCTGTTAGCATGAAATTAAAAATAATCCTATATTTTTCTAAGTGCTTGTTATGCATCTTATTGTGAACTGTTCATTTTTCAATAATCCGTTACATTTGAATGTACTGTATATCGCAATACAGAAGAAAAGATATGTCACTATAACATATGTCCTTTAATTATCTATTTTTTTTTTTTTTTTTTAGATAATTTTTTAACTAACAATTAAAAATCAGCATGTCTATGCAGAGCTTTTGTCTGCAATTTGAGCTGTCATCATTTGGGGTCTTTTCTCAGCAAATATTAATAACTTTTATTAATTGCAATCCAATATGATGTAGCCTATTTACCTGAATTTACATTATATGTGACCCTGGACTACAAAACTAGTCATAAGGGTAAATTTTTCGAAATTGCGATTTATACGTCATCTCAAAGCTGAATAAATAAGCGCTCCATTGATGTATGGTTTGTTAGGATAGAACAATATTTGGTCGAGATACAACTATCTGAAAATCTGGAATCTGAGGGTGCAAAAAAATCTAAATATTGAGAAAATCATCTTTAAATCTGTCCAAATGAAGTCTTTATCAATCCATATTACTAATCAAAAATTAAGTTTAGATATATTTACAGTAGGAAATTTACAAAATATCTTCATGGAACATGATCTTTACTTACTATCCTAATGATTTTTGGCATAAAAGCAAAATTAATAATTTTGACCCATACAGTGTATTGTTGGCTATTGCTACAAATATACCCATGCTTTTGTGCTCCAGGGTCACATATAGTCGATATCTTGAGAGCAAATATAATATCAATTTATATAGCCTAATACAATTTAAAGATATTGCACCTAATTGGCTTCATAAAATAAAAAATAAAAAACAAACTTGGTAACACTTTATTACACGTGTCCTTGTTACACGTTACATGTACTTACTATTATAATAACAATAAACGATGGGGTTGGTAATATGATGATGAGAGAATACTAAAAATATTCTTATTTGTGTTCCTAAAATCACTGGTTTCTAAAGAAGAGCTAATATGTTTAATGTCCTCTAGTGCCAAAGCCAAAAATATGCCCCACAATTACCAGAAACACTAGGGACTTGACATTTCCCGTGTTCCCCTGCGTTTAAACAAAGACATCTTCCAGAAGACGGCATACTCCCGTTTCACTCCCTTCACATGTCAGTCACCTCCCCCTGGGACAAATGCAGCTTCTGCAAAGCTTTTCATTCATATTAACATACTAGAATTACTGGTCCTTGTTCTTCTTTTAAACACGGGGAACTCCCATGCCATGGAAGCTAAATGGTTTTTAACGTGTCTTCATTAATAATTAAGCCAATTTAGAAATAGGCTGAGAAAATACAGATAAATGCTACAGAGGAGAAAGGGTTGCCTATAGGTTAAATGACAAAGAAATGTCAAGAAAATAAAAATCACAGAAGGCAAACATGTTCACACCAGGTTCCTCTCTAAAGGTGCAACGCTTGACCTGTTGTGACACAACCACAGCTTTGCAATGAGCAATTTGATCTCAATGTTAAGTATGTAGGCTACTTATTGTTTTATATTCTCACTCACTTTTTAGGCCGTTTATATCAACCTAATTTAACCTAATATACGTACACTTCGACACATGTAGCCTAAGTCATATGGATTTAAAAAATGTGCAGTTTATGTGCAGTTCATGCCATTTGTAATTAACTCTGTGTATATTAAAAATTACCTTGGCCTAAGCTAATACTTTTTAATTTAATGTTCATCTTTGCTATGGCATTATTTAAAAAAATAAAGCTAATGGAAAGTTCTTCGCCAATCGGAATTGACAAATCCTACTATAACCCGTATTCAAATTCACGATTTAATAGTTCTCATAACGCCAGCATATCCTAATAAAACATTCATGACCGAAGCGCTCGTGGACTGGAGTTTCGCTGCCTGGAAGCCGCGTCTTTGGGGCGGGCTTTGACCAAAACCTGCGCGCTGAGGCGAAGCGAAAGCTCCCGGAAAGCCCGAAGATATAGTAGCACAATTTATAATGTTATTAGAACACTAACAGTCAAAAAAATCTAAGCGCATTTGCCTGGAGATATGAAGTGTTCTCTATAATGGAGGTCTTCATACATGCTGAGCACAGTAAACGACATGGATTTGATGGGAAGTCTGACAGAATTTGCTCTCCAAACACAAACAACCGATCGCGGGCTTATTACTCTATACATGATAAATTAAAAACAATGATTGGCAATCAATAGGCCTATTCATCACCTATTCATCAACAACTGACAAACCTGACTAGCCTATGTAAAACAGAGCAGCCTAAATAACCAGACTACAGATGTCACCCACATGCAGCCCATTCAGAATAGATGTTAACTAAATGTCTCAGTGGCTTACCTATGCCAGGAGCTGAATAGATGAAGTACAGTGCAGAAGTGGAGAGCGAGAAGAGAAATAAAAGCCCGAGAAATGACCTTCTCCGAAATCTCATATGTGTCGGCATTATACAGAGAGGCGCAGATATTCTTCTATAAGTAGGCTATATGGACAGATATGTGTCCGGTTAATCGACGCAGATGGAGAGTCCGAGCGCAGACACGCTGATCAGGTCCGATCCCGGAATGTATCCAATCTAGAAGGTTCACTTGTCGTAGTGGAGTCTCATCATCTTCATCCCGTGTGTCACACGCGCACACACACACACACGCACGCACGCACTCATACACATACCCTCCTGCGCGCTGCTAATGAATGGAAGCGCATGGGACTCTGCGTTACGCACATATCAGGGCAATGTTCTAGGGACCGTCTGCAAAGGAGGGACTGTGTGAAAATTATTATGCATGACTGTACTTGATTACGTAACGCTGCACGCATGGTCCAGTTTCCCCAGAGAGGCTGTGAAACAGACAGGTACAGTATAAAGGCGCGTACTGATCGTCGAGGGGAAATTGAATGGGGGCCATATTAATGCGTCTGCATATTATTTAGAGTAGGTGCTCAAGACCTTAAAATTCAAATGAGCAATTATTCCATCTGTCCTGGTGGACACTGACCAGACCAGAGGTTCAAAAAACATAAAATAATAAACTTGAATAGAACAAGGTATTGTTTTAATAATGACTACTGCAAACTAGGTAGAGTATGAGATCCAGTGCTACACCCGCACAGAATCTCCCAATCATGTAAGTGTAAACATTAATGGCATTGCACATCTTATGCAGACAAGACGTCAAATAGGTCATTTATCTAAGTGGACAGCCTGTGTTTTCACCAGGATGTCATTCCAAATGAATGCATCACAGAATTGCGCATTGTAGACACGCCCACCTTATGTGAACTACAACTCCCAGCAACCATCACTCTATTGTGACGTCAGCACGTCCGTTTTTAAACTGCAATTTTCTTCTCTGCAACGATAATGCATACATTTTGTGGATACTATAAGTAACTAAATATATATGTACATGTAAAAACACGATATCTACGTTTTTCCCCCCATTACTTCGGCTTAAAACTACCCAAAGGGAGAAACTACAAATCCGCAAGTCCCAGAAACTACATCTCCCAGGATTTCCGGGTACGTAATGATGACGACGAATTTACTCTGCGAAACATGGATTGTGGCGACATGAGTTTATTTTGCGATTTCCCCCCTGTGTCTAATGATTATTTGTGTTTGTGAGCACGATGAGCTTCAGTAATCGCGCTGCTGTGATCGCTGTGTTATCAGTTATATTGACGGCTGATCTCGGGCGGTTTGCGGCAGCAGATGATCAGACACACAGTAAACACGATGAAGAATCTGACAATAATAGAGCTGTCAGTGATTTACATGATCAGAATACTGCTGATGGGCACGGAGGGCATCTGATCAGGTATTACTTCATTACATAGCATCAGTTCGCTTGCAGTTTAACAGCAGAAAGAGTGAGTGAGTGATTGACAGCTGTGATGTGGCGCATATTCAGTGTTAATCATCACTATTACAATTACACAACAAAAGATACCATGGTCTTCTGTGTTTTCATTTTTAACGATCCTGTATCATGGTATAAATCAAAGTACCATGGTATTACTACCTGATACCGTCTCTGTACCACGATACAGCCAGAGTATACATCTATTTACAGTTATAGGCCTATGTTATGGTGTATGAATATGATGATTCTTGATTGATATGCTTTTGTAGGATAAAGTGGGCCACTTTTTGTTATAGACTTGTATCTTCAGATCATCTTAATCTTTTAATGTTAATGTGTTAATGTTAAAGTGATTGTATAGTCAAATGTCATCATATTTGATGTAATACCATTAGTGCAGTCAAACGATTAATCGCATCCAAAATAAAAGTTTTTGTTTACATAATGTAAGTGTGTATATTTATTATGTGTATATAAATACAAACACATGCATGTATATGTTTATGAAAAATATGTTATGTTCATATATTAAACATATTTTTACACGTTACATGTACTTACTATTATAATAACAATAAACGATGGGGTTGGTAATATGATGATGAGAGAATACTAAAAATATTCTTATTTGTGTTCCTAAAATCACTGGTTTCTAAAGAAGAGCTAATATGTTTAATGTCCTCTAGTGCCAAAGCCAAAAATATGCCCCACAATTACCAGAAACACTAGGGACTTGACATTTCCCGTGTTCCCCTGCGTTTAAACAAAGACATCTTCCAGAAGACGGCATACTCCCGTTTCACTCCCTTCACATGTCAGTCACCTCCCCCTGGGACAAATGCAGCTTCTGCAAAGCTTTTCATTCATATTAACATACTAGAATTACTGGTCCTTGTTCTTCTTTTAAACACGGGGAACTCCCATGCCATGGAAGCTAAATGGTTTTTAACGTGTCTTCATTAATAATTAAGCCAATTTAGAAATAGGCTGAGAAAATACAGATAAATGCTACAGAGGAGAAAGGGTTGCCTATAGGTTAAATGACAAAGAAATGTCAAGAAAATAAAAATCACAGAAGGCAAACATGTTCACACCAGGTTCCTCTCTAAAGGTGCAACGCTTGACCTGTTGTGACACAACCACAGCTTTGCAATGAGCAATTTGATCTCAATGTTAAGTATGTAGGCTACTTATTGTTTTATATTCTCACTCACTTTTTAGGCCGTTTATATCAACCTAATTTAACCTAATATACGTACACTTCGACACATGTAGCCTAAGTCATATGGATTTAAAAAATGTGCAGTTTATGTGCAGTTCATGCCATTTGTAATTAACTCTGTGTATATTAAAAATTACCTTGGCCTAAGCTAATACTTTTTAATTTAATGTTCATCTTTGCTATGGCATTATTTAAAAAAATAAAGCTAATGGAAAGTTCTTCGCCAATCGGAATTGACAAATCCTACTATAACCCGTATTCAAATTCACGATTTAATAGTTCTCATAACGCCAGCATATCCTAATAAAACATTCATGACCGAAGCGCTCGTGGACTGGAGTTTCGCTGCCTGGAAGCCGCGTCTTTGGGGCGGGCTTTGACCAAAACCTGCGCGCTGAGGCGAAGCGAAAGCTCCCGGAAAGCCCGAAGATATAGTAGCACAATTTATAATGTTATTAGAACACTAACAGTCAAAAAAATCTAAGCGCATTTGCCTGGAGATATGAAGTGTTCTCTATAATGGAGGTCTTCATACATGCTGAGCACAGTAAACGACATGGATTTGATGGGAAGTCTGACAGAATTTGCTCTCCAAACACAAACAACCGATCGCGGGCTTATTACTCTATACATGATAAATTAAAAACAATGATTGGCAATCAATAGGCCTATTCATCACCTATTCATCAACAACTGACAAACCTGACTAGCCTATGTAAAACAGAGCAGCCTAAATAACCAGACTACAGATGTCACCCACATGCAGCCCATTCAGAATAGATGTTAACTAAATGTCTCAGTGGCTTACCTATGCCAGGAGCTGAATAGATGAAGTACAGTGCAGAAGTGGAGAGCGAGAAGAGAAATAAAAGCCCGAGAAATGACCTTCTCCGAAATCTCATATGTGTCGGCATTATACAGAGAGGCGCAGATATTCTTCTATAAGTAGGCTATATGGACAGATATGTGTCCGGTTAATCGACGCAGATGGAGAGTCCGAGCGCAGACACGCTGATCAGGTCCGATCCCGGAATGTATCCAATCTAGAAGGTTCACTTGTCGTAGTGGAGTCTCATCATCTTCATCCCGTGTGTCACACGCGCACACACACACACACGCACGCACGCACTCATACACATACCCTCCTGCGCGCTGCTAATGAATGGAAGCGCATGGGACTCTGCGTTACGCACATATCAGGGCAATGTTCTAGGGACCGTCTGCAAAGGAGGGACTGTGTGAAAATTATTATGCATGACTGTACTTGATTACGTAACGCTGCACGCATGGTCCAGTTTCCCCAGAGAGGCTGTGAAACAGACAGGTACAGTATAAAGGCGCGTACTGATCGTCGAGGGGAAATTGAATGGGGGCCATATTAATGCGTCTGCATATTATTTAGAGTAGGTGCTCAAGACCTTAAAATTCAAATGAGCAATTATTCCATCTGTCCTGGTGGACACTGACCAGACCAGAGGTTCAAAAAACATAAAATAATAAACTTGAATAGAACAAGGTATTGTTTTAATAATGACTACTGCAAACTAGGTAGAGTATGAGATCCAGTGCTACACCCGCACAGAATCTCCCAATCATGTAAGTGTAAACATTAATGGCATTGCACATCTTATGCAGACAAGACGTCAAATAGGTCATTTATCTAAGTGGACAGCCTGTGTTTTCACCAGGATGTCATTCCAAATGAATGCATCACAGAATTGCGCATTGTAGACACGCCCACCTTATGTGAACTACAACTCCCAGCAACCATCACTCTATTGTGACGTCAGCACGTCCGTTTTTAAACTGCAATTTTCTTCTCTGCAACGATAATGCATACATTTTGTGGATACTATAAGTAACTAAATATATATGTACATGTAAAAACACGATATCTACGTTTTTCCCCCCATTACTTCGGCTTAAAACTACCCAAAGGGAGAAACTACAAATCCGCAAGTCCCAGAAACTACATCTCCCAGGATTTCCGGGTACGTAATGATGACGACGAATTTACTCTGCGAAACATGGATTGTGGCGACATGAGTTTATTTTGCGATTTCCCCCCTGTGTCTAATGATTATTTGTGTTTGTGAGCACGATGAGCTTCAGTAATCGCGCTGCTGTGATCGCTGTGTTATCAGTTATATTGACGGCTGATCTCGGGCGGTTTGCGGCAGCAGATGATCAGACACACAGTAAACACGATGAAGAATCTGACAATAATAGAGCTGTCAGTGATTTACATGATCAGAATACTGCTGATGGGCACGGAGGGCATCTGATCAGGTATTACTTCATTACATAGCATCAGTTCGCTTGCAGTTTAACAGCAGAAAGAGTGAGTGAGTGATTGACAGCTGTGATGTGGCGCATATTCAGTGTTAATCATCACTATTACAATTACACAACAAAAGATACCATGGTCTTCTGTGTTTTCATTTTTAACGATCCTGTATCATGGTATAAATCAAAGTACCATGGTATTACTACCTGATACCGTCTCTGTACCACGATACAGCCAGAGTATACATCTATTTACAGTTATAGGCCTATGTTATGGTGTATGAATATGATGATTCTTGATTGATATGCTTTTGTAGGATAAA